CTTGAGTGGCGAGAGTCATAGATGGTGGTCCTGGTTTTCCTGGGGGGTGAGTTTGAGCACCATAACAAGTGCTTGTTCGCTCCTGCCCTTCCTCGGGATGTGGGCGTCGTGCAGCTTCACATGCAGGTTCCCTCCCTTTTGGCTGCACTGGTTGCTGAGGACTTGCGCACTTGTGGCCTGCTGGCTTCGGCCTTGTGTTTCTTTTCCCTCCTGGAGCTGTCTGCTGACTGGCTTAAGGAGGATGTGGAACTGTTAGGTCTAACGCCTTGGGCTTGGCTGCACGTTCGTCGTCTGATTTGTTGAAGCTGCACCGATCCTGAGGGATGCTGTGTCACTGTATTATGCCTCCCAGCTCGGGTGTTGGCAGGCGGTACTGGCTTCCTCGGAATCTGCTTGGGCCCTGGCTCTTAAAATTTCTTTGCCTTTTTGTCCCTTGCTGTTTGCTGACTCTGGGGTAAATTTGCTGCATATTTCAAATGCCCTATTGATGATTTTCTTTACAGTAAACTGTACTGAAAGCCTATATTCTAATTTGATGAAAATGAAGATCATATGCTATTCTGAGAGAATAACATTAAATGAACAATTGATGATAGTTCGTATTTTTTTTTCCGAATTGAAAATCTTTAGTTTTCAATATTTAATTTTAAAATTAATTTTGATTCTTTTGTTTTTCAAGTTACGCTGTGATTATTTAGACAAAGTTGGAGCATTTGCCTAGTAGATTGTGCACAAAAATTCGAAGGTGTTTGTGCAAGTTTTAAAAACTTATGTTAAATTATTTTATGTCAAATCATATACAGTATGTATGTATTGCGCGGTCTAAGAGTTAAGGGGTGTCGGCCCTTATGCGGTTTGTCCTATTGACGGGGCGATGGGGGGAAAGGCTTGTTCTGTTCACTCACGCATGCTCTCTCAATTTGTGGGCTTTTAGGGTCGTTTCTGATGGTCTGCGGTGAAGTCGAGTGGCCCCCACCACCTTCGGAGGGTTTGGGGCTCGCGGGGCAGGCCTCTTCTGCGCTGCTGGGTCGTCTTTGAGTGGGTACACTTGGGCGTGGTCGAAACGACAATGTCTCTCAGATGGGTTTCCTGTCTGTTCCTGACATGCGGTTCATTCTGGACTTGTCCCATCTGAACCCCTTTGTTCATTGCCCCTCCTTCCGGATGACTACACTGTCCCAGGTCCGGCTTCTGTTGGAACAGGGCACTTAGATGGTGTCCCTGGACCTCTGAGATGCGTATTGGCATGTCCCGATTTGTCCGCGGTTCAGGGACTGGCTTGGTTATATTGTGGGGCATCAGTTACCACTTTCATTGTGTCCCGTTTGGGCTGAACCTGGTACCTCGTGTTTTCACTTGCCTTACTCGGGTTGTGGTGGCCCGTTTGTCTCTCTCAGGTGTTCGGGTGTTGGCCTACTTCAATGACTGGCTGGTCTGGGCTACAAGCTGGTCCGCTTGTCTGTTCGCCAAGAATTTTGTTCTTCCCCAGCTCGCCAGGTTCAAGTTCTCGTGAATTGGAGGAAGTCACATTTGGTTCCCTCCCAGGTTCGGACTTGGCTGGGTCTTGTGTCGGACTCTCGGACCGCTTCCTTGTCTCTCCCTCCGAAGTCTCTCTTTCAGCTGCGGTCCCCCCCTTTGCCTGTTTCTTGAGGGCTCCCAGGTCACTCGGCAGTTGCTCAAGTGTTTGTACCACAGCCTGAACTTTGCCGTGATGGTCTACCAGCCGGGTCAAGTTTGGCTTTGTCGGCTGTTCTGGTTTCTTCGGAACCATCCTTTCCGCCTCTCTCACGATCGCTGGGTTCATCCACCAGCGGCCTTAGGTCGGTGCTGCGTCACCGGCTTGCTCTTCGGGTGTTTCGGGGTTCAGTGCCTTGTCGCCTACCCAAGTCCTCGCTCAATGTGTTCACGGACATGTCATCTCTGGGCTGGGGCTTTATGACCAGTGCTCATCAGGCCGGTCAGGGGCAGTGGGGTCCGTCCTTCCATCGAGTCCACAGCACAGTGCGGGAGTTTGCTGCGGTGTGGTTTTCCCTTCGGAGGGTTTCAGGTTGCACGTGGATAAACAATCCGGCTCCATTCGGACTGCTCCCTGGTGGTTCATTGCCTGAGCCGCAGGAGTTCGATGCGGGCCGGTCGCTTGGCTCTTTGGGGCAGGTCGCTTCGGGTAACTCGTCTGCTGAGTTTTGGGGTTTGGCTCTCCTGGCGGTTCACGTTTGGGGGGTCTCCAATGTTCTGGCGGATGGCCTGTCTCAGTTCGTTCCCCTGTCCACGGAATGGTCGGTCGATGCTGACCGATTCAGTTGGCTCTGCCAGACGTTCAAGAGCCCGGATGTGGACCTCGTCCCGTTGGCGTGGTCGGGGCATCTTCCGGTATATGTGGCACCCTTCCCTGACTGCAAGGTTGTTGAGATCGATGCCTTTCGGCAAGCTGGTCAAGGTGGTGGTTCCTGTACCTCTTTTCTCTGGTTCAGCTGTTGCTCTAGGTCCTGGCTCGCTTGAAGACTTACCAGGGGATAGTCATCGTCTTAGCCTCATGGTGGCAGCCCAGCCTTGGTTTCAGGTGCTGTTTGCTTGGTGTTCGTACCCGGAGGTTTTCCCGTGGCTCTGCCTCTTTTAGCAGATCGGTCCGGTCTGTCACGTGGCTGGTTCGATCTTCTCCAAGTTTTTGTATTTGCTTTTTTTACTCGGGGTCTATCACCATCTATATGGTGATCAGGAGGTGTCCTGAATGGTGTCCCACCTGCAGGCTACATCTTGGCAGCAGTATGACGTTTCCTGGCGGCCCTTTTGTTTCTTTCTCTCGCTTCGTAGTATTCCTCGCTCTCGGTTCGGGTTGTCTTGTCTTTTCTCATGGTTGTTTCAGGATTGTCATCTTACGTCGAATACTGTCGCCTCGTGTTGTGCAGCGCTGGTGGAGCCATTACAGCTTGCTTTTGGTATTTATGTTATTTCAGCGCCGTTTCGCAAGCTGTCTTGTGCATGGTTTCACCTCCTGCCTGCTAATGCGCCACGTGAGCCATCCTGGTCTTTGGATCAGGTGCATTCTTTTCTCTCTTCTCCTCGGTTTGTTGTGGCCCCTTCAGTTCAGGATTATTTTTTTAAGGCTCTTTCCTGTTGGCATTGGCCTCTGGGGGTCGGGTCGGGGAGCTTCATGCTCTCCTCTGGTGCAGGGGTTTCTGCTGTTTTGGTCCTCGTGACAGGTTTGTTTGCTTGCAGCCGTCTCCTTTTCTGGCGAAGAATGAGAAGGCTGCTTTCCGGAGAACTACTTGGGTTGTTGATGCTTGGTTGGTCAGGCCGGGGGTACATCATGTGTTGTGTCCAGTTGCAGCTTTCTGCCGTTATTTGCGCGTCACAGCTTCTGTGTCCGGGGACGCGCTTAGGGTTGATACGGTTTCCCTTCATCCCTGTTCCAGGGTGCGGGTCTTTCAGGTCGTCCTCAGGGTTATTCGGTCCAGCCAGCCTGCGGTCTATCCTTGTGCCCACGACGTTCGTAAGTTTGCTGCTCTTGCTGCCATCTTTAGCAACATGTCTTGGGCTGACATTCAGGCACAGGGATTTTGATGGTCGAACAGGATCCTGGCTGCTCCTTACTTCATGAATGTTCCTGGGCCTCATCAGGCCTGTGTCGCTTTGGATCGACGGTTGCAGCCAGTTGTCTCGGTTTTGCGTCGAGGAGTGAGTAACGACCGCCTCCCAGGTAAGTCCCTCTTGTTTTTGTCCTTTGGTATGTAGCTCCGGGAAACCAATGGGGCTCCCTCCCCCCCCCACCACAAAACCAGCGTTGAATGTAATGAAATACCATTTTCTGGGCGAGACCTGGAGGCTCCCCGGCAACCCTCCTTCCCTCCGGTCGGCAGTTTTTTGCATGTTTTTGATATCCAACCTCAGAACTGAGGTCTTGGGTAGCTGGTGCAAGGTGTCTGGGGTTCCCCCCTTTCCCTTAAATTATACCCAAAATATATCCCTCTAAATCAATATAATTATTATAATTATCCCTATATTTTGTATTTTTGGGGTTATTTTTCTCGACTTCATTTCAACACATTGGCCTATAACTTTCACATATTTGAGTACAAATTCCAAACAATGTTTATTAAAACATAAAATTAACTTAACGAATTAGAACTACCTCTATTCATTGTCGAGAACTTCCACTTCAATTATCTCTGAAACTAGAGTTTCAACTTTGAGTGGCTTCTAAAATTCCAGTTTCTGACCGATTCTCATCATTTTGACATTTTGTGCTCAGCTGTCTGTTTTATAATCCCTTCAGAATGGATTTTTCATAAACCCGATACGTTTGGAGTTATAATTTGTGTGTGTGTCTAAATTTGTCGCATATTTCAAATGCCATATTGACAATTTTTTTATTCAGTAAACTATACTGAAAACCCTTATTTTAATTAGATGAAAATGAAAATCATATGCTATTCTAAGAGCATAATAACACCAAATGAACAATTATTGATGGTTTATATTTTTTAATCTGATTTGAAAATCTGAAGTTTTCAATATTCAATTTTAAAATTATTTTGTATTTTCTTGTTTTTCAAGTTACGTTGTGATCATTTATACAAAGTTGGAGCATTTACCTAGTTGATTTTGCACAAAAACTGGAAAGTATTTGTCCAAGTTTGAAAAACTTGAGTTATGTCAAATCGTATATATATTTGTATGTTTTGCGCAGTTTAAGGGTTAACATTAGCTGGGGGATGCTGGGATATCATTTGCAAGGGATGTGCCAATGGATGAGAAGAAACTATTGAACTTAATGGCAGTGTCTATGCTATAATGACCCTGTGTAGTGTCGGCTCAGTCAGTGCCTGTATTTCTAGGAACACACACTAAATGTGTGGTATACCATACCACACATTTATGTGGTATGGTATACCATACCATATATAAATGTGGTATGTGGTATAGTATACCACACATCCACACTAAATGGGGTATACCATACCTGTAAAAGTTGTTTGTACATAAAATATATAATAACTAACCTTCTTTAAATTCTTTAAACATGACATCCAGTGTTGTGTCAACAAAGACAAAGTTGCAGGGATTTTGATAGAACTGGCTTAGTGTTCTCAGGGGTGTGTTATCGTCTGGGTCAATAAATGCCAGGTCCTTGATGAACAGAACTGCGATTATATTTGTACGTTCCCCCTCAAAAACAGGCACACGTGAATATCCTGAACGAGAAAAAAAATGTTAGTTTAAATTTAGAAGCAAAACAGTATATTTACAAAATTTAACAGTCATCAGTTCAACTCTTTATGCTTGCTTGGTTTATGTAATTATATATTTAATGTCCATGATATTCATATCAAATGCAGATACTGTATAAGAAAATTAAATATTTATGCTGGATCTGATAAATTGTGTTATGGTGGCTCACTGCCGCTTAAAATTAGGTCAATGAATACAAGAAAATTAAATATTTATGTTGGGTTTGATAAATTTTGTTATGGTGGATCAGTGCCGCTTAGAATTAGGTCAATGAATACATAGTTACTCATATTATGTGATATGACATTATATGTTTAATAGTTAAATTTTAATTAATAATCCACACCAGATATTGAGAAAGTTTAATACAGTTCTGCATTTAGATTATGATTTTTGAATTTTACTGTTTTAGTGAAGGAAGTGGATGACAACAAAATTAAATAGCTATACAGGTAGTACAAATCACAAAATCCACTGTACTTTGTTAAACCAAATAATGTCTAAGCATTTTACACAAATTATAAGCATATTGCAAAGTACCAAATTTCTGTACAGTATTCCAAATTTAAAATTATGATGTAGTGTAATTTAGCAGGAGTGTAACCTCCTTTTACAAACAGTGCAATGTACAGTATATAGTTTACCTTGCTGCATTATTTCATTAATGGTATTGAAGTCTAGTATAGTATCAACACTGAGCATGTATACATCGTCTAGTTTGGTCATGACCTCCCCCACAGTCTTCTTGTGCAGCTCCAGGGCTCCACATATGATGTTCTGCTCCTCCTTCTTCAGATCATTGTGATCATGTGTTACCTGCAAAACATACCAACATTTTATTTTGACATGAATAATCTTCACAGTTTATGTGACTAATAACTAATGCCAATCAATGTTCATACCAAAATATACCGTTATCGTTAAGTTGTTACAGGCTAAGTAAATACAAGAAATATTAATCAAAATAAATTAGAATATGATGATGTGACTGCTTGTTAGTGACACAGAAAGATGGCTACCTAATCAACCACTCCATCTAAAATCATAAAACTACAATAGTATACAGAATGATATTGAGTTTTGCACAATGAGGAATTTTGCACAAAATGTTAAAAAAAAAATTATTATGCAATTAAATAAAATAAAGGTGAATAAGACTATTTCACATTCCCATTAATGACACGCCTTCTCAGGATTAAGGTTTGCCATGTTTTATGTGGTTAGTTATTTTCTCTGGTAACAATCTGGTGCCAAAAACATGATTGCTAATGTGGTCCCTGTGGTGTAGTGGTTAAGACGCTCGCCTGGCGTTTCGCGAGTGTTTTGTCCTGGGTTCTTATCCTGACCGGGAAGGATTTACTGGGCATCAATCCTTAACTGTAGCCTCTATCTACTCGATAGTAAAATGGGTACCTGTTTGTTAAACAATTTGGCAGGGTTATATTCCAGGGAACATTGGATTAAGGACTTGCCCGAAACGCTGCGCATGCTAGTGGCTGTACAAGAATGTAAGAACTCTTGTATATACTGTAATAATAATAATAATAATAACTAATAAAATGTGTGCAAATACACAGAATTTTTCCACTAAAAACTTGTTTGATGACCAAGAAATCTAGGAAGTATGCAAGACTGAATATACAAGGAATATAAGCACTTGCTTATCTAAAACAATTACCAACAACAATACAAGATAATTGACAAGCATGAGAAAGTCACTAGTGGGGTCACACATGGAATCACATATCCCATTAAATGATTAATTACATGAATACTGCACTGTGTACAACAACTTCAAAAGAACCCTGGAGTATACCTGGAGAGGGTTCTAGTTGTTATTCTCCTCGAGCCCAGCCTGAGGCCAAGCTCTATCCTGTGGCAAGTGCACTGCCTTGCCTTGACCACTACTCGAGAAATTGTGCCCACCTAAGCTACATTTGAAATATGAGCAGAATAATAAATCCTACATTGTTTGAGTTAGGAAAACTGTCAAATATAAATACTGTACTGTTCTTAAAAGATTCAACCCCCCCCCCCTTCCCCAAGATAGCATTGTTTAAGGGTTGGTAAATGTTAATTTTCTTGTTTGATAAACTGTTTACTCGAGACGGTTAAGTCCCAGCTGTTTTTACCTAGTTGTACTTTCAAGTACTTTACGTCCTCTAATTACTCAACACAAAGCTGCTATTAGGACAATATCCAACTCTAGCCCCAGACATCACTCGGTACCCTTACTCAAATCTCTGAATATGTTAGATATTAAGTCACTGCACATTCTCTCTTGTGTATTATACATATATAAAACGCTGAACTGTAATGCCAATCCTGACCTCAAAAGCTTCATAGAAGGTTGTAACAGAACCCATGAGCACCACACCAGAAATACATACAGTTTTGATATTCCAAGAGTACGACTTAATCAAACTAGAAATGCTCTACAAATCAAGGGACCCAGAATGTGGAATGATCTTCCCAGCCATGTTAAAGACTGTACCTCTCTCAACCAGTTTAAGATAAAAACTAAACACTACCTAATAAATTCCCTGTAACCTACCTTACCCCTCTATTGTCAACCCATGTCTTATTTTTTTTTAATCAACACTGTTTGTCAACCTATTGTATTTGTGCTGCTTTTTCAGTCATGTTCCCCCTTTTTTTTTATCTTTATTTGTATTTGTTCTCAACACATTTTATTCTTTATGCTCAATTAGTATTAAGTTCTAGATATTAATGTTTTTCCTGCCCGAAACGCATTGCGTAATAGTGGCTTTAGGCATTGTATGTACTAGCTCTATCTATATATCGATCCATTAATGTAACATTACTTGTATGTATGTACTCTTCCTGAATAAACATATTTATTTATTTATTTATTTATTTAAAGAGTTGAGCTTTGTCTCTTTGGTCCCACCTCTAAACCGTCAATCAACTAGTGTACCGATTCCTGAGCCTACTGGGCTCTATCATATCTACATTTAAAACTGTGTATGGAGTCAGCCTCCACTACATCACTTCCTAGTGCATTCCATTTACTACTATGACACTGAAAAAGTTCTTTCTAATGTCTCTGCCGCTCATTTGGGAGCTCATTTTTCACCTGTGTCCCCTTGTTCGTGTTCCACCCGTGCTAAAGAGTTTGTCTTTGTCCACCCTGTCAATTCCCCTGAGAATTTTGTAGGTGGTTATCATGTCTCCCCTTACTCTTCAGCTGTGTCTGGGTACAAATGACAATGTATTCTTCATGTTGCTGTTCTTCGGGGGGAATGTTGTACATGGTGCTATGGCAGTATGTTTACTCACAGGATGAGTGACACTGGCAAATAAACTTAACTTCATGGGCAAAATTTAAAAAATTATATAAAAAAACTTGGATGGATAATCATTATAAGGCAAGAGGTGATTAGGTGCAAATTCATAAAGGTAGGCATGGATACCAAGCAAAGGGGAATTCAGTACAAGAAAAAATAAAATTGAAGTAACCGCAGAAGGGAAGGAGTGTGATGTGATTTGGCTAGCAAAATATAACCATGTTCCTAGATTCATTTATTAAACAAAAAGTTATGATGACAGGGTTATAAACTCCAAGTAAAATCAAGAAAACGAGTTCAGTACAGTACATAGTTTTTTTTTATTTTAAACCATCAATTTATAATACAATAAATTTATAACTTGAGAATATTTTCTGTTTAGGACAAAAGTTCTCTGGCCAATTTTCAAGCAGACTATTACTAGAACCGTAATATGCTTTCGGACTATCACAAATAACTAGATAACTCTGCCGATTTACAAGCAGACTATTACTAGAACCGTAATATGCTTTCGGACCATCACAAATTACTAGATAACTATCAATATGGTTTGAGGAGGGGTTCAGTGTCTCGTTCTAATGGATTTACATGGAGAATGGGAAAGAATACAGAAACGAATTGAAACTGGAAACTCGGGTGAGTCGGAATAACCTATTCATTGGAAGGTATATTTTTCTGCATAAGGGTACACCAGCAAGAAAAATTTTAGAGTAAACAAGCTAGGGGAAGGTTCAGAATGAGTGTAAATCAGCAAAGGTCAGCATTAGGGTAAACCATCAAGGGGTATGTTCAGCACAAGGGTAAACCACCAAGGGGAACAATCCAGAGATTGAGAATGAGGAACAGGATTACCGAGAAGGAAAAAAAAGTGTGAAATGCTAAATGAACAGATTCAAAGTGTGTTTGTACAAAATGAGGATTTCAGAGAGTCAGCCCCAACTAGTTATAGAGCACACTATAGAATACAGAGGTATCTCAAGACGAGAT